CGTGTTCCGTAGGCCTCACATCACTTGTATGTATGGATCGGCTATTACTGGACTCCACTCCTGATTTTGGTCTTTTGTTTTTTGTAAGTTTTGAACCCATTTTTTACACACAATTAACAAATGATTGTTATTAATAATATAGAGTATAATAATTAGTGAATTAATTATTTTAGAAATTTATTTATAAATACATAAAACACATTACAAACAAAGAAACTATTAATTACATATACTATTACTAAGAAATGGTTATTGTATTGATATTGATTGTCATGGTATTTTTATCGCATCTATAGAAAGTATTTTATAATACCATTGCGTTGGTATTTTCAATTAAAATATCTATACCTTTATTTATCTCATAATATAACACATAATTGTATTTCAGAGATATTACTCATAAATCCGTTCAATACTTATACAGAAATGTTCACAAGTTTTGTGTCACCAGAGAGTGCTATATATTATGCATTCATTAATGTTTAGAGAACACTTAGCGCATCCTGAACGGGGGAGGGGGGAGGGGTGGTGGTAGTGGCCATAGTAAGCTTATTATAATATTACTCTAATGAAAACGTACCGGATTATAGTAGGAAGTAGTTTTGTATTTATTTATATATTATATGAAAAATTATTTATATTTATTTAATAACTAAACATTGATTTTCAGTCACCTTNGTATTTATTTATATATTATATGAAAAATTATTTATATTTATTTAATAACTAAACATTGATTTTCAGTCACCTTATGGTTGGGAATTGAAAGGCAATTAATATTTTGAATAATAATTTGTATTATGAATGACTCAGATAAAACTTTTTTTGCACAATTAATATCAGGATAAGGGCTGCACTAAAGCCCTCATCGACTACATGAAGCTATATCTCGGAAGTTTAGGTGAGACTCTTATCATAATACTGTAATAATCATACATTTCTAGTCATAAATACGTGTAAAATGAGTGAAAATTGTGTGATTTGTATGAATGAGATGTCATTTCATATTTATTTGACGCTATTTTGTAGGCTAAATAGCCATCGGCGTGGCTGTGGTGGAGATCCTGATTGTCATATCTGCCTGTTGTCTGTGCCGTGAGATCAACAATAAATACGCCACGTATTCCAACCCCAAGGCCCGGGCCTAAAACACCGGTATGAAGACTAACCACAAGTTCAATAATGGCGGGGAATTGAGGGGTACTGTCGGCGGCGAGTACTACCAGTCGGGGCCAACTATTTCGTGAAGTAATTTATGCATTAAACACATGAAACCACTTATCCCTTGAGTTTACCGCAGATTTCTAGACGCATACAAATCGCATGACATAAACCTATGGGGAGTGACCGTCGAGAATGAGTCCACACGAGGGACTCCATCCAAGGGCTGCAACTGTCTGAACCTAACCGGCCTATGGAACAGAATTTTGTGAAATTCAATTTAGGGCCAACCCTTGCGAAGGCCGGGTATGGGAAAGACAAACTTAATCTAATGGTATTCGACGCAACCTCAGCTTTTGTCCAGAAGCTCGTACCGCCTATCCTAGTGGACAGGGAGGCAGCGAAATACGTGTCGGACATCGCATATCACTATTGCGGTGGATATCCGGACGGATTTCCGACGGAAATACAGCACAACTACAGATAGATATGTTTCTATTAAGCTCTGAGGCCTGTCCTCTCGAGGGACCAGATTTACGGCTGTGGAGTGTCGGTGAACTCTATGCAAAGGAAATCATTAGGGTATATGTGTGCTTGATACAATCTATATAAATAAACGATCTAGGTGATTAGTTATGTATAATTTATGTAGGCTTTGAATACTTTTCTCTATTCTACAGAATATTCCCTCAAAAATCCCGTTATATTCCCGAGAGTCTGAGGAGCATTTAAAATCACATAAACAGTGGTATTGTTTGTGAGGTCCTATCGCTAATCTTCAAGTGTGTCATGAGTTTTATCTAATTATAAAAGTAGTTATTTTCTATTGGAAAGCATTGTGTCTATGAATGTGTCGGTTATCTTAGATGTGGTGTTCCTCTTAATACATATGAAACCCTTTTGTCAGTCAATCAATCGTTTTATTAAATTCTCATTAAATGTTAAAAGTGGTCGCTTTTCACGTCAAATGGCATTTATATAGGAATGGCAACTATTAATTAAGTTTTCAGATTAACTTTGTATAAAAACAAAATTGAGACAAATGAACAAGTCATACATGTATGACCATTTCTTTTAATATAAGTTTTTAATATTTTATGATTTAATCAATTGTAAAGTAATATAATGTATGATGTATAGTGTAAAACGAAGTGGCATTCATTTGATAATAAAAACAACAGATTGTGTTAGTTTTGATTAATTGTTTTATATTTATTACTCAAGATATCATTAATTGCCGAAAGAAGACATAAAAGGAGCGCCAATTGCCACCATATCCTCAATAATTGAGCTCATTATGGATGAGCCAGACCAACTTAAAGTAAGTTATTGCTACTTTTTTGTCACTAATTGTCATATAATAATTGCTTTTCATTTCGCAAATATTTGCAATACTTTTAATG